TTGAAAAACAGAAAGACAAAGAACAGGAAGAGTTTGTTTTTACAGTTGATGTACAAGCAGTTTGGCTTGCGCCCAAGTCAAATCTTTCTTCTCTGTATTATAAAACGAAGCTATGTGTTCATAACTTTTGTTTATTTGATCTTACAACATAAGCCGGATACTGTTATTTGTGGAATGAAATTGATGGAGGACTAAATGCTGAAGAATATGCAAGCATATTGGGGAAATTCATTATCCAGAAATTTCTTCCCAGACTCAGCAGGCAAAACGATATTAAATTGATTTTATAAAGTGATGGTTGCGTGTCACAAAATAGAAATTCAATATTGTCAAATGTTTTGATGAATATCAAATACTTACATACATTTTTCTTTGAGTCGTTGCATTTTTTTTACTTTTAGGTATTTGGATTTATTAGTAACACAAAATATGTTTTTAAGGTAATTGACATTCGTGGCTTACAATGTAACATGGATGGCAACATTTACTATAAGCTAAGGTTTACAGATGAGTGGCTGTTGCTACCGCAGCATTGTGACAAGCTTATTACCACTAAGGATATATAACAGTTGCCGAATCTGTACTCCGAAAGATTGAAAATTAAAAACAGGAAATTTCAAGACCTCCAGGATATGAAAACTACCCTGCCTTCAGGTTATCATGAATTCTATGACAATATTCCATATCATGCATAGCTATATTTAAACAATAAATAAATCTTACCTACAATTCTAAAATGCTTATTTTATTCCGGCATAATTTTTATTGTATTTTTAAGCTATTTTCAAGAACTCAAAATAAAAACACTTTATCATTAATGTTACTACAGCAATCATTAAATTATACAACAACCATTAAAATACTATGGAAAATCAGCTAACTCTTCAAATAATTTAACATTTGGTTATTAAATCGAACCAACTCCAATTATTCCTCCTATGTAATCAATTAAATTAAATATCCATAAAACTTCATTGTAAACCTATTTCTGAATTAATAATCTACAAAAGTGTGTTTTAATTTTTTTTTCTCCATTTAATAATGAAATTATTCAGTTTTTTGTTGTTCCTAGACATTTCATACAAATGGAGTTGGCTGGTTTGCGGATTAAGCCATCGATAAGCAACTAAAGCATTGCAAAAAAAAAAAAAAAAAACTATCCAATGATATTGTTTCAAAACGTCATAAGCAATTATATTTCAAAACCTCATAAGTATTGCAAATAAAAATTGGAAGTTTAAAAAATTTGTAAACAATATTTAAAGTTAGTTTGTTGTTATTTTTTGTTGTGCTTTTTGAACGACTAATAATAAACTTCTAGATTAGAATTGAATTAACAAATGTCTAGATAAGAATTAGTAGTATTATTGCCATGTATTTTATATCTCTTTATATTTTTGCCATGTATATTATATTTAGAATAAAGCAATTTGTTTTTAAATCCAGCAAAAATATTCCAACACAAAATAAAATCCTGGAGGGATTTAGTAAGTTCCTGGCCGAAAGAATAGTCTTAAAGAACGTAACTAACTTATAGCTGAACAGTCAAGCAAAAAATAAGGGAGTAGAGATTAAAACTTAAATATTTATACCTATAATTGAGGTACGCAAGAAACAATTACTTCACCTTAACTGTGATTTCTGTTTTAATTAACTTTTTGATTGATTGAATAGTTCTTAAAATTGTATCCAGCAAACTTTTATTTTATTAATCCATTTCGATTGCAACTCTCAAAGCTTACTGATTACATTTCAAAATTTTTCATTTTTTTGCAAAAGCGCCATTTTGAATTGCAACTGAAATAATTATACTGCAAAGACTGTAACGCGATTTAAATCTCCTTTCTCCCTCCAGCCAAGCTATTATACCTTCTTTCTTGAATAGACAGTAATTTTTTTCTCAGTTTTTAAAAAAACTCGTTTAAATATATATATATCAAAACTGTGCCAATATAAAACTGTTTCTTTTGCATCTGATCATTTCCTATCTTTTTTGAGTAAAACAAACGTATTTTTAATGAATCAAATTTGTAGTCATTTAAGAAATAATTATCCTTCATTAGTTCGGGAAATATTGACTGAGCAGCCGTGGCGCAGTGGATAGAGTTCTGGCTCAGAACCCAGAGGTCCGAGGTTCGACGCCAGCGCTAGCCGAACAAGCGACATTGGTACGGAAGGAGGCGTGAACTTCCTGTTAAATGCTCTCCCGCGGTGCTCTATGATAAGACCGCAAGGAGTTCTGGGAGCACCTAAATACATACAAAAAAAAAAAAAAAAATCTGTTGCAAACGTACTCTACGACACATTCTACAAAATCTTTTTTTTAATATCTAGACGCAAAATTTCCAAAAAAAGAAATAAGTAAATCTAACAAAAGTTTTTAGTTAACATGGATTAATAATGATATCAGAAAGTGTTAAAAATTAAATACAAACTGTATATAAAATTCTTTAAAAAAATTACGCCAAACAATTTGAAAGTCAGAAAAAAAAAACTCAAAAAAAAAAAAAAAAAATTTAATTTATTATAGAGGCATAAACTCAATTCAACGCGTACGCGACAAACTTTTGGTAAAATTACAAGCAATTATAAAATATCATGTTCTTTATCTAAAGCTATAAAAATTAACGGTAAATACGTGGATGACCCAAAGAAAAAAAAAAAGGAATTCGAATTGAATAAACTTTTGGTTTCTGAGGATCAAGTTTATTTGGAAACATTTCAGACATATTAAATCCAACTAATATTAGCGTACACAAATTCTACACTAGTTTAACGGTGAGAAGTGTCATTTGCGAAATTTAAAATTGCCTTTAAAATACTAAAATCCATTAAAACAATTAGTCCAAGCGATATAAACGGAAATTTAATTGTTAATTCGGCGTCCTATGATTCAACCGAATCCCTAATTTCAATTTAGAACCAAATATGAGAAATTTATTACACAACCGAAAATATTTACGAAAAAAATTAGAACCGAAAAAATTTCAATCGAATTTTCGATCGAAAGTCATTAATGATTTTAGAACCGAAAAAATTTCGATCGAAAGTCATTAATGATTTTAGAACCGAATTTCATTAAAATGGTTTACAACCGAAAGTTACACTGTTATCAAAGATTGTATATATATATATATATATATATATATATATATATATATATATATATATATATATATATATATATATATATATATATATATATATATATATATATATATATATATATATATATATATATTAAAGAAATTTTAATTGTTTATTTTATTGTAAAACGACTAACTGCAAAAAAAAAAAAAAAAAATAGATTAAAAAAAGAAAGGATTTTGTAATTCGATCCTGCAATGAAAGTATACTTTTTGGTTCTAAAATTTTCGGTTGTGAAATATTTCGGTGATATTTTCGAGGATAAATATTTTCGGCGCTATCATGTGACACGGTTAATTCATACAATAATATGAAAGATTTTATTTAAGGTTTTTAATTGTTTAATAAATAAAGGAATTTTTCTAGAACAACTGAAAGTAGCTAAAGTTAACCTCAAACTAAATAAGAATACAAGTTTTCTTGATATTAAGCAGATTTGTTAGTCCTTGGCCTTTGCCTGGCCTTATAGCCAAAAATTTAGGTCTTAGCCTTGGTCTTAAAAATTTTGGCCTTGGCCTTGAAAGAAATACATATTTTTTTATTGATTTTATTGAATTCTGAACATAATTGGTCTATTTTTACAAAATGTGGTTTCATTTTCACAGCACTTGCTACTTACAGTTTTGTGAAGAATTGGCTATAAAGCATTGCAAAAATTGAAGTCTTAAGTCTTAAAAATCTTGGCGTACGTCTTGGCCTTGAAACTCTTGATCTTGTAACTTGTAGCCTTGCTACTTTTGGCCTTGTTAACAACTCTGATATTAAGTGTGACGTGCCTCGAGGCTTAACCTTAGGACTGTTATTGTTTTTAAATTATATCTAAGATGTGTATAAGGCCTCGTCTATAGTATCTTGTATAATGTATGCTGATGGCACAACTTTGTTTTACAATCATAGTAATTTAAATTGATTTCCAGAACAATGAATACTGTGGAAGTGGAAAACATTAAATTATGATTCAGAGCAAATAAACAGATCATAAAACAGGTCAATCAATATTTAACCATATTACCATCAAAATAACTATTAGACTTGACGAAGTTCGATTTAACCGGAAAATTTTAATAGTAATTGATTAGACGATTTCAAGAAACCGAATGAAACGGTTCGAGATAATAAAAGTTCGAGTTAACCGGTGTTCGACTTACCGGGAATCAACTCTATATTCATACATAAGTGTATGAATAGCTAAATATACATGATTTCTATCGTAACTATTTTAACTGTAAAACGAATTTTATACTGAATGTGAAACAGATGCAAAAAAACAAAACAAAAATGATATTTTCGGTCAAAAAAAAATATGATAGCCGGCTTGCTTCTAAGAAACTTTTCAAATCCTATATAAACCACATTTCATTAACTGCATATAAAGTAAAACCCGTTAAAAAGGTACTATTGCATTGGAAATATTAAGTCATATATAAATTGCCATAGATTTATATATGAATTAATATATAAATCGCCCTAATAAAAATAATTCATTTTAAAATATTGACATATATTTAAAAATAAATTTTGATTTATTGAAATTTTAGGCAATTATTAAACAAATATTACAATAAGTTGAAATTTTATTTTATGTTCAAATAAATAAATCAAATTAGAAATTAATTCGAAATTAATTTACTATTTTATTATTTACTATATCGAATGTACTAATTTCGGGCACTAAAATTTATATAACAACTTTTATAATTTGTCAGTATATGTCAATTATTTTATATTTAAACCAAATCCAGAATATCGCAAGAAAAAAATGTTACCTTGACAACGAGTATTTACTTAAATAAAATATTTTTTCGCGCCATAGTAACTAAAGGTTTTAAAGAAAAAGAAAAAACACAAGAACATGAAAATCGTAAATATGTATTTGATAGATACAACCAGCAAAGCTAAATAAACATAATAACAAATTTGGAACAACTACATAAGTTATCATTACTGTATATCAAAAACATTAGTTATCGTAACTCTATACAAAAAAATATATGTAGACATAATACCTTACAAATAAATAAAGCCCAAAGAAAAAAATTTTTTTCATACTGCATAAAGATTAAAAAATCTTTTTACAAACCAGTAGTATAAACTTTCGCACATTTTTTTTTTTTACTGTTAAATATGGAGCTAAATCAATTTCGCCAGCAAAACTGATTTTAAAACAACATATTTACATAGTAAAAAACATGACACATTAAAGTGACAATTTCCTATGTTATCATTAACAAATAACATCACTAACATCTAGTTAGCTTAATTCAATTTTAATATGATACCAGGAAATTAGCATTGAAAAGTGCCATTATGTTAAAGTGCTTATATGAACCGAACATAATGTTTAAAGTCCATAAGAAGGAAATTATAAAAACACTAGAAACTAGCAAAAAATACTAATATTATTAGATTTAGCTTGAAACAAACCTATTTAAAAAAAGTTACATATATATATATATATATATATATATATATATATATATATATATATATATATATATATATATATATATATATATATATATATCTATATATATATATATAATAAATAAGGAAATGTTTCTTAAAAAATAAGCCTAAAGTTCAACAGTAACAATGATTAATATAATCTCAAATTATTTCTTTACGGTCAGCAGAAAACTTTAATCTGTCATAATCATTGCGATTTTTATGAGCAACAATCATATAGCATGTTGAATTACCTTGTCTAGCAATTATAGTACTCCAAGCAAGAAAGATCTCCCAAATACGGCACAGCCTTGAACCATATTTTAGAGACATATTTTTACGAGTTTCAGGTTGGATCCAATTTCGATACCATTCTCTAATTGTTTCAGAATAATGAACACCAATTGTTTCAACTGAGTGAACCTCAAACCCAGCTGATTCAAGCTGACCAACAGGAAAAATGAGTGGTAGACTTGCCTCAGCACCTGGAAATATGTACGTATCCATAAAGAAACCCCATAAGATATCTTCCCATTTCCAGGCACGTCTTAAACCAGCAATCTGTAAATAGAAGATACCATTATCATCCAGTAAATTGTAAACCTGTTTCAAAAATCTAGGATAGAGTCGAATTCCAACATGTTCTGACATTTCCAAGCAAGTAATTTTGTCATACTTGCTATGTGGAATATCTCTATAATCCATACATAGAAATTCAGTGTTGGCGGATGTATTGTGTTTGACAGCTTTTTCTTGAGCCCATTTAATCTAAAGTAGTTCAAAATAAACAAATTAATACAAATTCAAAACTACCAAACAAAAATGAGCCAAAAAAAAAAAGCTGAAGTATATATGCCTCTAAATTAGAGTTCTAATTTCTGTATGAAATTAGATTTTAATATAAGCTAAAAAAAAATAACAAAACACACACTCTTTGTATTTCATATGGAGATTGTCTTAGGAAAGTCTTTTATCATCTTAAACAAATTAACTTGTCAATGCCTTTAGATACAAGACCTTTTTAATATTTATACTTGTATGAAATAAAAATGTTTTAAAAAAAATAGCCTGAGAAACAAAAACCCTTAAAATTCATCACAGCATTTAAAAAGTAGGGTAAATTTTTTTTTTTAATTTTAGGCAAAAATAAAACTTATCAACAGTTTTACAAATTTCATATATGTATCATATATAAATATTTGTGAGTATATATTTCCATGTATATACTAGTATTGCTTGACTGAGGAGATAATAAACTTTATTTAGCTATATTCTTTAACTACAAAAAAACCAAATCTTTTATGTCGTGCAGGTGGTGTTGTAGGTTTCTTGTTTCGAATAAGAATATTTATTTTGATTATATTTCGTAAACATGAATACATTCATACATGCATTTAAAAATAGTATTGTGCAATTAAGCAATTGTACATCATACTGTAATAGACTGTGAGGCCTTCAGTACATGCTGGTTATTTAAGATATATTCTAAGGAGGGAAAGGGGGGGGGACTTTTTATGTAACAATAAAATGTTACATAAAATGTTTTACAAAACATGCAATAAACTATTTAATTCTAGCATGGCTTGTGGTCAAATGCCCATTTTTTAACAGCTGTTTTATAATAATTTCAATAGGATGTAATATGCTGATAAAAGTTTTTTAATTTGGCGAGAAATAAACCAAAGCTCATTTTCAACAAGTCAAGATTTACTTGGTCAGCCATTTTTAAAGCCTATTTAGATTAAAAGTTTTTGTTTTTATCAGTGACTGAAATAATTTTTTTCTAATTTTTAAGGCCAATTTTCACTTGATTTTTGTTGTTGGGGGATGAGGAAGGTAGGGTGGGAGGAATTTTCCAAAAATTATTAAACACTCCCATGCCCTTTTGTTAAGGACTCGAGGGTAAGTGGTTTTACATTGGCAAATTTTCATTAATGAAATTTACATTATTGATTATTAACAACTGGGAAGTAAAATTAATCTAAGTAAAAGCAGCCAATGCCAACCAAAGGAAAATCAAATAAAAATTTAGCTAATTACTGTGACATTATTTTTCTCTTAACTATTTGTGTAGCTAATGTTATGTAATGCATCAAAACACCTCACAAAACACACTATTCATGAAATTTAATTATTGTTTTTGAACAAAGTATGAAAAGCATATTTTGTTAGGTTTGTAACAAATTTAATTACTGCAAAAAAAAAAAAAAAAAAAAAAAAAAACCTTTTAATTACTGAAGCTTTTTATGCATATTTATGCAGCATTTAATTCTAAAATTTTATGTTATTTTTATAAAGTTAAAAGTATTTAAAATGTTAAATAATTGATAATAATTGATTATATGTGTATTTTATACTATTAATTTTACCTGATTTTCTGATATTGAAACTCCAGTTCCTTTACTTCCGTAGTGTTCAGCAGCAAAATTTACAAAAGTTCCCCAGCCACAACCAATATCAAGATGCTTATCCCCAGGTTTCATAAGGATCTAAAAATGGTTGCACTATCAAAATTAATTCTTTATAAATTTAAACATGAGAGCATAAAATTCAGTATAACTTAAGCAAATGAGAGAGGAAAAAACTAAGTACCCTTTTACAAACTTCTTTGATTTTGTTAATTTGCATTTCTTCAAGAGTCTCATCCTCCCTACAGCGAATACCTGATGTATAAACCATTAAAGGACCAAGAAACGCTTCATAGAAATCATTGCCACGATCATAATGATCTGTAACCTGATCATGATCTTGCACTTTAAAATGCAGCATCTCTGGCACAAATTTACATAAGAAAAATTTTAAATGCCACCATTGTAATTTGTAGACCACATATTCATGACGACGTTCCAAACATTGAAGTAGATCAAGTTTAAAATTAATTTTACCATCAGCATAAAGTTCATACAAATCACGAATAGGAATGTATTTTCCACTATGCTTGGCTTTAGCAGCTTCGTCAACAAATTCCACATAATGATCTACTTTGCTTGACTCTTTTTTCTCTTGAAACAAGTGATAGAGAAAATTGCAAACACCAAGAAATGATGCAAATACAGGAACAAATGTAATCAAAAATGTGACAGGTAAAATATAAAAAGGAAAATTTAAATAATAACATATCATAAATGAAGCAACAGTGTTAAAGAACAAAAGTTTTTTAAAGGTCACTTTTTCCCAAGTTTTCTCATCAGGAAGACAAATAGACTTTGAAAACCCATTTTGCTTCCCATTAGCATTTCCATTCAATTTATGCATAACTCCATTTCCGTTTGAGACAATTGAGTCTACAGTTTTTGCTGAACTTGGTGCCATTTTTCAGGATTTTTAAGTCTACAATTTTTTTGCTAAAAAACAAGTTAAAAATATTTTTAAAAGTTTTTTAAGTAATTAGTCATGAAATCTTAAAATATATGTATGTATGTATGTATGTATGTATGTATGTATGTATGTATGTATGTATGTATGTATGTATGTATGTATGTATGTATGTATATATATATATATATATATTATATGTATATAATATACATAACACAAATTTGTTGTTAACCAGGGAAGTGCAAATACAAATACAAGCTGCATAAAAAAAATTTCACATTATTAAATAAATAAATGCTTATCACGTTTAAATGTGTTCAAATGTTACTGATGTCCAGTTTCTAGAAACATTTTAACCTGTAAATCATATACTTTAACAGCTAAACTAACTTCATTTTAGATATTTTCTTGGTCACCTCATGCCTTTGCTATTCATCAAACAAATCGCATGGTCGAAGAACATGGTTATTAATTCTGATTGGTTAGTTAAATACGGCCCGATTAGAAAGTAATCTTAGAGCTTTATTCTATTGTGATTGTTTCTCAGTCGTCATATTTAAGGATTATAATGAAGAAGTATGAGTTATATTATTTAATTGTTTATGTATAATGCATTTACTTTAAAAAAATAACTTTAAGACATTGAAAATGTCATTAAACTATCTTAAATTTAATTGTTTATGTATAATGCATTTACTTTAAAAAAATATCCTTAATACATTGAAAATGTCATTAAACTATCTTAAATTATATACAGCCTATTTTGATTGGCAGTTGTAATCGGTTCGTACGTACTCATAATTTGTGTAACGGGTTTTTATCAATTTGAATAATCATTAACTTTTATATATATATATATATATATATATATATATATATATATATATATATATATATATATATATATATATATATATATATATATATATATATATATATATATATATATATATATATATATATATATATATATATATATATATATATATATATATATATAATATATATATATATATATATATATATATATATATATATATATATATATATATATATATATATATATATATATATATATATGTATATATGTGTATATATGTATATATATGTATATATATATATATATATATATATATATATATATATATATATATATATATATATATATATATATATATATATATATATATATATATATATATATATATATATATTACTAGTTGAAAAACCTGTTGTTTTGCAATGTGAATTACAATATGACGTCTCTTTCGAAAATGAGTTACACATGATAAAAAATTAATTTTCATTTGAAAATTATGGCGCTAACTGGTTATTTACTTGATTTAGCTACTCTACTATACATTACCGTTTTAGTTTTAAAACCGTTTTATATCGTTTTGCACGTATATATTTTTTGTATTGCAAAATATCGTTTAAATATTGTATTTAGACGATATTTAGTTAAACCGCAAACAGCCAACCATAAAACAAAAAATTTTTAATGAGCCGTCAAACTTTTGATGATTAAAAATGATTAAACGACTAAAGTTAGGCCTCACCAAAACTGCAGTTGTAAATTTAATCTCTATTGTCTGTTGATTTATACGCTCTATTGTATACAAAATATTAATAAAATTATTTATCCTAAAATTATAAAAGCATCTGCTTCCCTAAATTTTACATTTTAAATTTCTAATTATTTTTAAATTTCTAAATAATTTCGGTAAATAAAAACGTTTTAGCAAAAGTTTTCAAAAAGAACTTTTTTTATTAGTTAGCAGATCGCACTTTTTATTAACATTGCAATAGAGAATAAGTAGGATTTTAAGTAAAGATATTTTAAAGAATCAAAGATTTTGTTGTTATTGTATTAGGCAAACCTATGAAAGCATAAATATAAAGATATTGGATTATTTTATGGTATGAACATTTTTCTCTTTATGTTCACTATGATCACTATACTATGCAATGCAATTGTTATAATTCATAAATTTTTCTTAATTATTTTTCAGAAACAGAGAATGTGAGAAAGCGTTGCTCAAAAACAATATTGTAGTTTTCAAAATATAATATAGAATGTTTACTTTGAAAAATAATTTAGAAAAGTTTATGAGTTATAACGATTGTATTGTATAGCATAGTGATCGTGTATTAACTGATACAGAACCGTGGCTAGGCTATCTCACCCCCCCCCCTCCATTGTAGAGGACTTAGTGATTTTAGGAGACCCATTAGCAAATCTAGAGGCTTTTCTGGAAGTTTAAGGAGCTTTTTTTTTTACTAATACCTACTGATAATTTTTTAAAGAAATTAGGGCCACTAGCCGCGGCACTGTAAAATAATACGGCAATGTAGTAAAATCACCTAAAAGTATAAAAATGTGATTATAATAAACAAAAAAGTATATAATATTTATACATACGATTATTATGCGATCAAAGTAAGAAAAATCTAAGCAAAATATAATAAATTGACTAGAATGTTTTATCTCATTTTAGTGAATTTTTTCTATCAAATAATAATGTAATAGTTACCATTGTGTAAATAAGACAAAAATTAAAAATTTAATGTTAAACAATTCAAAAGATAAAAATAAAAAAGCGATACCAAAATCAGCGACGTCAACAAATAATTTTGCGATATTAACAACGCAAGATCGAATTGCGTCTAAAAAACAGTCAGCATAAAATGTTCATTTATGGTCACTGATCCTCAACAGATAAATTTTGTGACAAAATTTTTTCTGTTACCAAATATTAAAGCGACGAAAACTTTACTATCCATATTTTAATTTAACATTGACGTTGTATTGAAAGCGCGCTTTGTTTTTAACTTTTGGGTTCCGCTTTACAATTTTCTATATTAGTCCGAGTCTCCATCGTTTTGCTGCAAATACATCAAGTATAAATCCAAACAGCAATTTTTAGTTGATTTACAAGGTTACAGAGTGCTTTAAATATTCTATTTAACGAAGTTATTTTATCAATCGAAAACACGTGTTTGATATTTGTTAATAAAAAGGCAAAGGCAGATGTTAAAACTCCTCGGCGATAAAATTTACTAGCGGAATCGTTATGGACGCTATATTAATAGTACGCAGTTGAAGCCATACTGTAAATGTTTTATTTAATACAATTATAAATTTTCAATAGTTTATATACATAAATAAACCGTTTAAGTTAACTAATAAAAAACTTCCTAACAAAAGAAAACAAAAGCTATCGTTAAAAATTTACCAAAACAAATAATTTTATAAAAATCTTGTTTTCTCCATTCATTGTCATTCATTCAACGTTATCTGAGCAAAACATTGTAGGATTTAAAAATGTTTTAATCTATGCAAAAGGATTGTTTAGTAAAGAATGCGTTTTATATAGGAGTTCAAAGTCTATCGTTCGATCACCGACTGAAATAGCAAAACTTTGAACTCATTGAAAAGTTTGAGATATCATTGGAATTTTGTAATTCAAAATTACGCAACGAAATTCTTGAATTTAAGTAATCAAAGGATAAGAATGATCTGCAGATAAAAATAAATTTTTGTCACCAAGTGTGTTTTTTAAAGAAAATATATTTATTATGATTTTTTTAATTAATGTCTTTATCGGTTAATTTTTTTTCCACATTAATGTCCAAAAATTTTTTTTTTATTAAGACAGTTCTAGAGATGGGGTAGGGGTGGTGACATAACAAGGAGTATAAATTGCCACTTGGAGAAAAAAACTGCATTTTTAACAGAATATTTATAACAGACATATCTTAAGATTTACATCTAATCATAAACCAGGTTTAAAATGACATAAGGTCGTTTTTACTTTTTAAGTTATTTAGTTTCAAAATATTTTAAACCTCTAACTATAAAATATGAATATAAGCTCATTTTTTTTGGAGAGTCTGCAAAATAAATTCTCTTTAGGGTGAGTGAACAAAACTCATTTTAGGATGAACGAGTGAATGAAATTCATTTTTTTTTAGAGTTTAAAGTAGTAAAAGGTAAAAAAACTTTTTTTAAAAAAACCTATTTAATTTTTTGACACCTAACTTCCTCGCAAGACTGCTCTTCTTCTGAAAGAAATGCTTTATTTGATCGGCTGATCAAATAAAGCATTTCACCACAATGCACGTCGGATCAGCGCTCGCTGACTATGTGCTCGGATCTGAAATCTCACTTCATAGCACATCATTCCACACCAGCACGGGGCAGTAGCTCTTTTGGTTAAGAGTGATGGCTTGTGGCCTACGGTGACTAATGTGTGCATTCAATCAATTGAAATCCATTCTGTAGGTCTCACGTCTGGCTCTGATGTGCTAGCCCATAAGCGCAAGAAGTGAGAGTGTTTAGCTTTCTATTCACCCGATTTGAAAGTGAACGGAAACATAACGAGACCATACTAGACGACAAACGGTACGTACTAATGCACAACACCATCACACCTGTAGACATCAACGGTCTTCAAAATCAGTATATCAAATATTTGTTCTTTGTTACATATGATCTACATACAGAGTGATTAGAGTGTTAGTTTGTTCTCTCCCTGCCCTCCGAGCATTTACTTCGTTCTTTACCTTCACAAAAGTCTTATCACTCATTTTATATTTTCATATTATTTTTATTGTTTATTCAATGACACCATCTTCTAACTGTTTTTATTAACACATCTCTCAGGTCTACGAAACTGGACGGCTCCGTTGGTCACTTTTTGCGATCATTGTGTCGCATAAACAAAAAAATTTGATCGGCTGATATTTTCATACAAATTAGACGACATTTCCCTTGCTAGTGCTGCCCGCAAATCAAAAAAATTATTTTCTCCGATACTTTTTTTATGCATTTCAAAAATATTCATTAGGCATCCATAGCATATTTTCTAGATTCCTGACTTTGAAACAAAAGTTTTTTGCTTCATTATTTTTTTGCCTCTAGTCATAAAAGCAAAAATCAGAATATTTTTTTACTAAATTCTACTTTGCTTTGTGGCGAGACAGCAAGATTTACTTAAAACTAAAAAAAATGAATATTTATTACCTAGATCTATTTTAGGGCGAACTTTGTATTATACAACGCCCCAAATATGAATGTGTATAAGGGCGCTTCTAAAATAATGTGTATAATATATATATATATATATATATATATATATATATATATATATATATATATATATATATATATATATATATATATATATATATATATATATATATATATATATATATAAATATAAAAGTTAAGATGTTTTGTGGTAAGTACGAAAGTAGTTAAACGAAAGTATGATAAAAAAAATATATAACTCTAAATAGTATGTTCTCATATAAATCTTGCCTGGTAAGTAGAGACAATAGCTATCACACAAAACAGACTCAGAGTAATTAAATAACGATTAGCCAGAGATAAAAAAATATACGAACATCAAATCAGTAGGCAGAAAATAATGAGGAAATAAAAAGATAAGACAATATATGCGATTTTAAACTAATAGCTTATAACCACTAAATAATGTAACGTTAAAAAACAATATTGTTGACTAAACGACCAAAGGAACGTTAGTGAAGACTGTATAGTGCAAACCACAACAAACTAACTTAGCGACGTCAAATCGAGAAAATTAGATAGAAACAAAAAAACCTAACGAAATCGTGATTAGTCTAAACTTATCTAATGAAATTGTTCAGTATATTCTAACCAAGAATACATTTGTTATAAAAAATACGCTAATACATACTTTTGTGTAAAATTTTCGCGCTGTTATACTTCTCACAAATATACGGCCTCATTCACACATAACACAAATCTGAATAAATATACAAGGATAGGGTAAAATAAGATTATGAACAAAAGTATATAATAAAGAACAAATATTTGATATACTGGTTTTAGAGACCGTTCATGTCTACAGGTGTGATGGTGTAGAGCATTAGTATGTACCGTTTGGTCGTCTAGTATGGTCTCGTTATGTCTTCGTTCACTTTCAAATCGGGTGAATAGAAAGCTAAACACACTCACTCCTTGCGCTTATGGGCTAGCACATCAGAGCCAGACGTGAGACCTACAGAATGGATTTCAATTGATCGAATGCACACATTAGTCACCGTAGGCCACAAGCCATCACTCTTAGCCAAAAGAGCTACTGCCCCGTGCTGGTGTGGAATGATGTGCTATGAAGTGAGATTTCAGATCCGAGCACATAGTCAGCGAGCGCTGATCTGACATGCATTGTGGAGCTTCCGACTGAACGTGTGCGTGAGTGTCAGCGTAGTCATTAGGTTATTGATCGCCGCAACCACATCCAGCGGGATAGCCTAATGTCCGTTTTGTCGTTGTGGCGTACATTGGAAAAAGTCGGGGCTCACCAGCCACAAAGAATAAATTTTTTGTTTATGCGACACAATGATCGCAACAAGTGACCAACGGAGCCGTCCAGTTTCGTAGACCTGAGAGATGTGATAATAAAAACAGTTAGAAGATGGTGAATAAAAAATAAAAATCATAAGAAAATACAAAATGAGTGATAAGACTTTTGTGAAGGTAAAGAACGAAGTAAATGCTCGGAGGGCAAGGAGAGAACAACTAACACTCTAATCACTCTGTATGTAGATCATATGTAACAAAGAACAAATATTTGATATACTGATTTTGAAGACTGTTGATGTCTACAGGTGTGATGGTGTAGTGCATTAGTACGTACCGTTTGTCGTCTAGTATGGTCTCGTTATGTTTCCGTTCACTTTCAAATCGGGTGAATAGAAAGCTAAACACTCTCACTTCTTGCGCTTATGGGCTAGCACATCAGAGCCAGACGTAAGACATACAGAATGGATTTCAATTGATCGAATGCACACATTAGTCACCGTAGGCCACAAGCCATCACTCTTAACCAAAAATTTTAAAAATATTCATTAGGCATCCATAGCATATTTTCTAGATTCCTGACTTTGAAACAAACGTTTTTTGCTTCATTATTTTTTTGCCTCTAGTCATAAAAGCAAAAATCAGAATATTTTTTTACTAAATTCTACTTTGCTTTGTGGCGAGACAGCAAGATTTACTTAAAACTAAAAAAAATGAATATTTATTATCTAGATCTATTTTAGGGCGAACTTTGTATTATACAACGCCCCAAATATGGATGTGTATAAGGGCGCTTCTAAAATAATGTGAATAATATATATATATATATATATATATATATATATATATATATATATATATATATATATATATATATATATATATATATATATATATATATATATATATATATATATATATATATATATATATATATATATATATATATATATATATATATATATATATATATATATATATATGTATATATATATGTATATATATATATATATATATATATATATATATATATATATATATATATATATATATATATATATATATATATATATATGTATATATATATATATATATATATATATATATATATATATATATATATATATATATATTTATATATATATATATATATATATATATGAACATAGAGAGAGGGAGCACTGCGAAAGAACATTTAACTAGGAAATTCACACCTCCTTCCTTACTAACGGCGCGAAATATGCCCCCTCGAACCCTGGATCTCTTGCTTCTAAAACATGCGCTGTAACCCATGAAAATGATCGAATGTGAAATGGGAAAATTATTTAACGTGCAATGAAAAATGATCGAACGTGCAGTTAGAAAACAGCTTTTCACTATTAAGCAAAGTTTAAATGAATAAGCTTTCTTTTTTAATTTTTGGCTTTGATTGTATTACTAGAATGTTTTACTTTTTTACAAGAATAGGCGTCTGGATTTGAAGTGCTAAAGGATCTTGATGTACTTTAAAGCAATCTTGTTAGATCATAACTTAGGTAAACAGAAGAATTTGTCAGCCAACGTTTCATTAGGCGTTGATGAAGTTTCTACTTTTTTCCCAGTAAGTGTGGTAGGTCTTTTTTTTTCAACAACATAAAAAAAAATTGTTTACCTTATAAAGCAAGAGTCAAAGGGTTCGAGAGTTACTTCTTCTTAATTAACTATAGGCAACAATTTTAAATAAATTAGAATTTAATT